AAAAAAAAAAAAAAAAGCAAGGATACAAAGATCAGAGTACGCATGTGTGATCGTAAGACCTAGTTTGGCCGTATCTAATACCACTGAAACTTTAATGGGGGCACTGGGCTACTAGAGTATTGAAATATCAAAATTTTCAATTCTTACTATCTTGTTATGGATGAGGAGCGGTGCCTCCTGCATTCCCTCCAATCCTAACTCCAGCAGCAGTCTTGGTTCTTGTGCTCCTGAAGAATTCACACTGGGGCACAGGCGCAGCAAGCAAAGTGTCAAGGTTTACATCAGCAGGTGTGAAGGCCAAAGGGGAAACGTGCAGAGTGCAGGGTGACCCCGGCTGGCTGCATGGCAGGGGCAAAGGGCCACCTCTAGTGTCTAGACTTAGGTGTCTTAGTCTACCATTTCTCCTCCCCTTGCTCACCCTTGGGGTGATCTGAGATGGTTTCCTTCCTGGAACAGGAAGAGGCTTTCTTAGAAGTCATTCTTTTTCGAAATTAACTCTCTTGGAATGAAACACATTAGAGGATATGTATAAAGTCATAACCACCTATAAAATCTAGAAGTTTACCTAGTGTCTAGACTTAGGTGTCTTAGTCTACCATTTCTCCTCCCCTTGCTCACCCTTGGGGTGATCTGAGATGGTTTCCTTCCTGGAACAGGAAGAGGCTTTCTTAGAAGTCATTCTTTTTCGAAATTAACTCTCTTGGAATGAAACACATTAGAGGATATGTATAAAGTCATAACCACCTATAAAATCTAGAAGTTTACTGCGGGAAAGGAATGATGCCTCTTGCACCTGCTCTGGGTGGGAGGGGGCGGGAACTCTAAGATTGGCTCTTGATTTTCTCAGAGCCCTGTCCTTCCTCTTACCTGATCAGATTGGCTATTATTCAGCTGCAAGCTCTTTTATTTATCATCTTCAGTGTCTCAGACCTTGTTTTAAAAAGCATTATCTTAAATTCATCTTATTTAAACATATTGACCTGTTAAAAAGCATCAAGATTTAGAACTTGAAAGAGGTGAATTACCAATGTTAATGGCAGTTTCTTGCTTGTCCCCTGTGAGGATCCATATTTTGATGTCTGCTTTCATTAGTGTTTCTATGGTTTCAGGCACTTGATCTTGTAATTTATCCTCAATGGCTGTAGCTCCAAGTAGCTGAAGGTTCTGGAAAAAAAAATAGAGAAAATTTGAAGGGGAAAGCTACTTTAGATTGTGTTAGAACAAACACTGAAACATGTATTTTAAAATCAGAGACAATGATAATTCATGGACTTGGGCATAAATTCCAACTACCCCACCGAGTTTTCTTTCTTAAGAATCACTGACTTCAGTCCAGTAATTTTGGCACGGGAGTGAGGCCCTTTGAAGCTGTCCAACCCTAACTCTCCCTAAAGCAAGGATCTGATTCTTAAAAAACAAAAGCAAAGCCCCTAAACCCAAAACAACAGCAACAACAACGAAACTTGAAAGGTGAGGGGCATTAAAAAGTCAGTTTAAAAGGAGTAGGTAGCTACTAAGAGAAATAGTGAAGAAGCCATTTTGTTTAAAAAAAAGATTAAGGATATATATTCTAATACTACTGAATTATACTTTGATGCAGTGTCAGGAAACTCATTTACACAATAGAATTAGAAGTGAAAAGGAGGAAAACAATAAAGCGTGGTAGCTTTAGTCTGTAAGAAAAAACAGCTTGAGTGTTTCCACATGACTCCAGATGTGCACGGTGAAAGGTGAGAGTATCAGAGGCCCCTTTAATAGGACGGTATCTTTCACATAAAACTGAACATAATCAATACAGCTGAACCTGAGGGGCATTGTGAGATTGGTTCTAAAACACTAAAGTGAAAAGCACATGATATTTTTTCCACAGTGAATAAAGTTATGTGTATAGACTACTTTGTAGTCTACTAAGTGTGTAATACCATTATGTCTGAAAAACAATACAAGTATATTAATTTTAAAATACTTTATTGCTAGAAATGTTAATGGTCATTTGAGCCTTCAGGAAGTCATAATGTTTCTGCCAGTGGAGCTTCTTGTGTTGATGCTGACGACTGCTGACTTGTAAAGTTGAGGTGACTGTGCAAATTAAGACAATGGAATCTGTCACATGGACTGATTCTTCTTTCATGAAGTGTTTTCTCTGTAGCATGCATTACTGTTTGACAGTATTTCATTAACAGCAGAACTTCTTTCAAAACTGAACTCAGTGACCTCAAACATTGCCACTGCCTTACCAACTAAGTTTCTGTAATGTTCTAAATCTGTTGTTATTTCAACAGTGTTCACAGTGTCTTCATCTGTAATAGACCCCATCCCCAAGAAAGCCGTCTTTTGCTCGTCCATTGATGTTTTCCCATGCAGCCGCAGCAATTCAGTCACAGCTTCAGTTTGCTTGCTATGCCTGTCACATCTGTAGATACTCCCTTCATGGAAGTCTTGAATCTCTGAGAACTGGGGGTACCTTTTCCACGCTGCAGTTGATGTGCTGATATTTTCCCTTCCTCTTATGAACCACAATGGCATCTTAATGGCATCTAGGATGTTGAATCATTTCCAAGAGGCTTTCAGTTTACCCAGATCCACCAGTGGATCACTATCGATGGCAGCTATAACCTTTATGAAAAGTATTTCTTAAATAATAAGATTTAGAAGTTTAAATTGCTCCTTGATCTATGGCTGTACAATGGATGTTGTGTTGGCAGGCGTGGAAATGTTAATCTTGTGTTTATATGTCTGTTAAAACCACTGGGTGACCAGGTGCATTGTCAATGAGCAATAATATTTTAAAAGCGATTTTTTTCTTCTGAGCTGTAGGTCTCTGTAATGGACATCAAATGTTCAGCACATCATGTTATAAACAGATATGTTATCCAGGCTTTGTGGTTCTATTTACAGAACACAAGCAGATTCATTATAGTATAATCCTTAAAGGCTCAAGGACTTTCAGAATGGCAAATGAGCACTAGTTCACTTAAACACCAGCTGTATTTGTCTCTAATAAGAGAATCAGCAGCTTAGAAGCCAGGCACTGACTTCTCCTTTCTAGCTATGAATGTTCTGGATGGCTTCTTTTCCCAATAAGAAGCCTGTTTGGTCTACACTGAACATCTGTTGGTTAATGTAGCCACCTTCATCGACTCTCTTAGCTAGGCTTTCTGGATATCTTGCTGTAGCCTCTGTGCCAAGAGCAGCTGGCTCACCTTGAACTTTCATGTACAGAAATAGACTCTTCACTTAAAGCACTCAAACCAATCTTGTTGGCTGTTAACCCTTCTTCTGTGGCTTCCTCAGGTCTCTCAGTCTTCACAGAATTGAAGTAGGTTAAGAGATTGCTTTAAATTAGGCTTTGGTTTACTGAAATGTTTCAGTTGGTTTGATCTACTCAAACCACTACAACTTTCCCCACATCAGCAATAGGGTTGTTTGATTTCTTATCACTTATGTGTTCATTGGAACAGGACTTTGATTCCCTTTAAGAAAGTTTCCTTTACTGTCACAACTTGGATATTTGATGTAAGAGGACTACCTTTGAGCATTTTTTGGCTTTAGACATGTCTTCTTTACTTAGCTTTGGAATTTCTAACTTTTGATTTAAAATGAGAGACATGCAACTCTTCCTTTTGCCCACAGAAGGGTGGATCTACTTTTAATGTTGTTGTATCTCAGAGAACAAGTTCTATGCAGAGGGAGCAAGATAGGGGAATGGCTGGTTGATGGAGAGATGAGAACACACACGTTTGTTAAACATGTGCCAAGTCAAAACAATTACAACAGCAAAGGTCACTGAGCACAGATGGCCATAAAATATATAATAATGATGAAAGGTTTGCAGTATCTCAAGAATTACCAAGACTAAACAATAGGACATGAAGTGAGCCATGCTGTTGAAAAAATGGCATCTGTGGATGTATATGTATGATGCAGTTTATGCCTGTTTTGGGTAAAGATGCTTTTGACTGCAACAGAAAACTCTAACAATGGCTTAGGTGAAGGTTTGGTTTTTCTCACATAAGTAAGCTTGAATTTGTCAGTGCCTGGAAGGTCAACCACATTTCTACTTGTTCCCCTGGTCTCTCTTCATGTTTTAGAGTTGCTATGCCCAGCACAAGTGAAACAGCCACGCTGAAGACAAGGGAGTTAATACCAAGTGTATTGTCTCTTATTTGGAAAGCAGAATCTTTCCAAAAGCCCTCCGCATATTTCCAAACAGGACCAGCTGGCCAGATGGTTGTAGGGCTGTCCTCACTACAAGTATTTTTCTTTCTTAGCCTCCATAATGGATCTGTCAAGGAAGAAGGGTGGGTGAGAATGAGTGTTGAATTAGCCAGCCAACAGTTTCTGCCACAAAGGACATGAAGAAGGCACGTATATGCAAGATGTTCATGTATACTTGTGTGTATACGTATGTCTGTACATACAGCCACACCCCTTCCCTCAGTCCCTTGCCGAGTGAAACCTGGCCCATACCATGGAGCCAAACTCGAAAGTTACTGGTTCTTTTTAGCTTTCTTGTACTACTTAAGACAAGCATTCCCCTCAGCTCTGTTCACAGCTCTACTAACTTTTACATATTTTAACTTACAAGCCAAGCAGCTTTAATCGAAAAATTTCAAATCAAATGCTCGAAAATCTGAAACTTTTTGAGCAACAACATGTTAGAAGTAGAAAATTCTACACATGACCTCATATGACAGGTGGCAGTCAAAATATAGGTGCAACAAGCTATAGATAGTTACATCAAATTACCCTCAGATTATGAGAGTGAGGACTATATGAAAAAAATGAATTTCATGTTGAGATTTTGGTCTCATTCCCAAAGTATTTCCCAATATATTCCCAAAATATTCTTGAATTTGGAAAAAAAACCCAACTTTGAAACGCTTCTGGTCCAAGCATTTCAGATAAGGGATACTTAACCTGTGTTAAGATTAGGTGCTTAAACATGGGGCTCTGGCAGGTTTGCTGAAAAGGAGGGCCTCATGCTGTTTATCTTTGCATCTCCAGAGTACTGAGCATGTCACATGGTGTTCACCAAGTGACAAACAGGACCAAATTCCAAATCCACATGTTCTAAAATATTGCTACCATTTAGGCCACTTTGTTTTCAATATGTTCCAAGTTATCTGGACAGCTATTAAGCAGACTTGATGCATGACTTCTTAGTATGGAATACAGAAAACAGGAAGGCAAATTTCTTCTTTAAGAAGACAGTATTATTCTATTTAATAGGAAGCAGATTTGAAATCTATCATAACCCGATGAATAATTATCATCAAGAAGTTCAATGTAAAACTCAGCCACACCAGTTGCTATATTTCAACATGAGACAATGACTCCAGTGGCTTCTTCTGCTACTTTTAGGATATTTGCAGTTACATCACTCTGGCTTATAACCCTGTGAGGATCAGAATGTAGCTGTGTTCAAATTTAAAGACTTGACAAGAGGGCCGATGAGGCCTTTTAATGTTCATGGATATAGTTCAGTAACAAACTCTCAAAAGTTTCTAAATCAGAAAAAAATTGGAATGTGCTGCACAAAACACTGAGGCAACTAGATAATTAGTATGAGCCAAGGTATGAACACAGTCACCAGAAATATCGAAGCATGTATTTGTGTATTTCCCAGCTCAACTTTAAGGAGAGAAATAGGCTCAGAAAGTATCTAGATATACATTACCACACACAAACCTATAAAAATAAAATGACTTCACTGGAGAGATCATGCTGAAATCATACTGGAGAGAAGAAAGCATCTGGTTTTATACAGGTAAAGGGAAACATTTTCAAACCAAGCAAAGGAAATATAAAGAACCACAGACAGAGGACCTGTCGGGTATGCTGAAAAAAGTCTGAGCAGGTTAGCCTGGAGTGTGTCGGTGGCTAGGATAACAGAGATTTCTAAAAGTATCATAAAACCTTTCTGAATATTCAGCAAAATTGCACTGGACCTAATCTGAGTATGAATAAAGGAAACACTGTGCCTGAAGTCTGTTCCTTTCCTGAGAGCTGCCTGAGAGCAGGGCTTACTAACGGCAGTGGAAGGCTATGCAGACTCCAGGCCTTTTGCCCTGGTGTCATTTATTGTGAGATTAGGATCTTGAGTGATGGGCTGTTCTGCTTTTGGAAATTAATATCTTCAGCTACACAGCCATCATTAGAAA